TATATATACTGTAATTTGTTAACTTATTTAATATTTTTGATGCAGATTATCTTAAAATATGGCTGAGTGGCTTAAAAGTGTACATAATCATACGAAATAAGAAATTTAAATTTTTAAGTTCTAATTCGATGTACTTTTAAGGTGTCAGGCTTTGTTTCCATACAATCGATACACGCTATCGCCGACAGCTTTCGGTGATGCTAATTGGTCGGTCGAATAGGGGAGCCTTCCCGATTGCGTTAGGGACTGCTTGGCAGTACAACGATTGCACTGAAAACACTGCAGCAACAGTGTAGCGATTGTATGGAAACCAGGCCTTGGTCGAATCGGGGAGCCTTCTCGATTGTGTCGGAGACTCCTACGTAGTACAACGATTGTACTGAAAACACTGTGGCGACAGTGTAGCGATTTTAATGAAACCAGGCTTAACATCATGCGTTAGGATGCACTTTATACCAATAAGTAAATTGTAGATAACAGTATAACACAGTATAACGCAGTATAACACAGTATTGTTATTTTTTAATTTTTTTTAAATTTTAGTTTCTTCAAGAGTTAGAAATACAAAATGTAAAGTGAATTAAGCAAAAATCCGAGAATTATCTTAAATAAGTATAGTGACTTGTTAAAAAATGGCTGTTGTTTTTTTTTTAAATGGGTTCTTCATAACACTTGGATCATTACAGAGTCTCTGTAAACGTTTAATGTTACTACAGTGTCTTACCTCATCTCATCTTTTCAACATAATGTTTGTCTACTGTAATAGTCTCATTCGGTGAAGTAGTTTAAAATGTAGTTTTTATTATTTAAAATGTGATCGTACATAACACATTATTAAAAACTTTATCTATACGTCTAATAATACTTGATAAGTTGATGTAAACTATTACCACATAATTGTTTGCCGTGACTCTACTATAATTCTTGTCTGTATGCCCACTTAAACGTCAATTATGTCTTCATCTAGGATTTATTTTTTAAGAAACAGGAACAGCATATTTTTTAAAGGCTTTTTTGAAAGAATATTATTAAAGTCATAGATAATGTAACCAAAATGTTGAACAAGTAAAAACACCACGAGGCATTTAATTATAAGGCAAACCGTGAGCCCGATTGTGTAGCAAACATGTTTCCAGCATACAATTCTAATCATCAGTGCGAACATAACAAGTTTTGCCAGAGCTTATGTGGATTAAAGCACGTGTATGTAAGTGACATAATACTTATTGAAGTACCTGTAAATACTGGTTAAATTAGAAATGGTGTACATTGAGCATTTTAACTTTATTTTTATTTTTATAATTTACTTTTTATTCCAAGTTGTATTTCGCTGGGTGTTTGTGAGAATAATACAATTGTGTTTCTCTTAATTAATGAGGAACCTTGTACAAGATGCCTTTCTTATTTGCATCTAGACGTAAAATTATAAGCTGTGTTCTACAAGCAGTTTTCAGACCTAATACAATGCCTGCTGTGGTTGTGCAGTAAAGTTTCAAATGGGAATTAGGACCTAACGTACGTTGCGTTTCACATGGACGTTTAGACCTATGATCTCGATGAGATATATTGGCGTAGAGTAAAACAAATCTAGCATGTTGTGTTTTCACATGGGCTTACTGTAAAAAAAAACCTTAGGTAATATATATTTCACGTCGGTGTACAGTAAAGATACTTATTATGTAAGTCGGATATTATATAAGGTTGTAGACAGACCTAACAGAAATTATAATTTACATTGCAGTTTAGTGAGAGATATAACATTGTTTTTCACGTAGGCGTTTAGTGACAGGGCCGGCAGAACGTTCTTTAAAATGGGGGGGGGGGCACTTATAAGATGAATGGGAATATGAATCATGCAGATCGGGAATCAAACCTAGGTGGTGGGGTCAACATTCCTCCCCCGGGAAAATTTAGATTTCTAGATGGCTGGAAATGACCTTTCTCGACTTTTGAGCTTGGTGTCTAATGACTTTGTTCTTCAAAAATTCAAGGTTTTCCCCCTCTTGAAAACGGTAAGGTAAACTTTCTCATTACAGTAAATAGGCCTGTTATGTGTGTGTATACCTTAATAAAATGAGTAGTTGCATATCGTATTCTTTTTTCAATGAATCGATAAGCTCCAAAGAAAAGGGGGTCCATCCTAGATGGCGGAAAATGAGCTTTTCCCCGACTCCTGAGGTGTCTTAATTACTTTTAAGTTTTTCAAAATTCAAGGTTTTTCCCTCTTGAAAACGGTCAGGTAATTTGTTCCCATTGTTATTACAGTAAAGGCCTTATGTGTCTATATTACATAGCCTATGTAAATACGAGTACGTGATTGATCGAAATTGCATCACGTGATTAGCGCTACGAGGATCGGAAACGTTATATTTCCCCGTAGGGAAATATAACTTTGAAAAGTGACATCCGCATTGCGCCCGTAGTGAATGCTAGTCGAGCGCGCCACGATCGATCGCTCACGAATTGTGAATGTGTGTAAGCCTAGCGCTTCGAAAATGGTGACTTCAAATAGGCCTAAGTTTCAATCTCTCGGCGAAGACAAATTGGATAGAGTTATTGACGAAAAGGATTCTCGGTGTACAAAATTTGTTGTGAATTCATCCGTTAATGTAGGCATACTCAGTGAATATTGTAAGGCCAAGGAATTATCAATTAGGCCTAGGCTAGGCCTAGGCCTACTTACATTGAAAATTTCACAGCAACGGAGCTCAACGCGTTTCTCCGGTAAATCTTCGCTGAGGTAAGGAGAGCAAACGGTGAATTGTACGCAAATCAATGATAACGCTACGCTACGGACTACAGAAACATTTTTAAAAAGTGACGGTAATATGAAGTTATTATTTTTGGCTATGTAATATATAACAGATATTGTGTAAAAGTTAAATAAAAGTTCTTAATATTTTAATAAAGTAATGTGTTCAGTTAATTATTTGCATCTATTTCTGGCTATGTAATATAACAGATATTGCCTTTTCTAATTCCTTGGGAATTATATTTTTTCTCAGGACTATATTTTCCCTCAGCGCTACGCGCTTCGGGAAAATATAATCCCTCGAAAAATATATAATTCCCTCGGGGATATCAAATGTTATATTACACCTCTAAGCAGGCAATATCTGTATAATACACACCGCATAACATTTAAAAAAAAATGAGTAGTTGCATACGAATTTTCCATGAATCGATCAATCACAAAAAGAAAGGGGGTTCCGGGGGTCCTCCCCCTGGAAAATTTTGATTCCTAGAAGGCGGGAAATGAGCTTTCCCGACTTCTGGGGTGTCTTTAAATTACTTTTAAGTTCTTCAAAATTCAAGGTTTTTCGGCCTTGAAAACGGTCAGGTAATTTTTTACCATTGTTATTCAGTAAATAGGCCTTAAGTGTATACATACATAAAAAATATAAAAAAAATGAGTAGTTGCATACGAATTTTCCATGAATCGATGAATCCCAAAAAGGAGGGGGGTGGATTTTTAGAAGGCGGGAAATGAGCTTTCCCGACTTCTGAGGTGTTTTTTAATTACTTTTAATTTCTTCAAAATTTAAGGTTTTCCCCTCTTGAAAATTATTATAATGAAACAATGAACCCAAAGAAAGGGAGGTTGGAGTTCTTCCCGGGAAAATGTTGATTTCTAAGTGGTGGGCAGCTTTCCCGACTTTAATTTAAGTTCTTTAAAATTAAAGGTAATAATATTTTCCCCATTGTTGTTACAGTAAATAGGCCTTATGTGTGTATACAAACATAAAAAAAAGTTTAAGCAAGTTGCATACGTATTTTTTTCCATGAATCGATAAATCCCCAAAAGAAAGGGGGAGGGGTGGGTCCTGTGGTTCTTCCACAGGAAAATGTTGATTCCTAGGTGGTGGGAAATGAGCTTTCCCGACTTCTGAGGTGTCTTTTAATGACTTTTAATTTCTTCAAAATTCAAGGTGCCCCCCCCCCCTCTTGGGTCCATGTTCCCCGGGAAAATTTCGATTTCTAGATGGCGGGAAATGAGCTTTCCTGACTTCTGAAATGTATTTTAATGTATTTTAAGTTCTTCAAAATTCAAGGTTTCCCCCTCTTGAAAACAGTCAGGTAAATTTTTTCTCATTTTTTATTTTATGTGTGTATCTAAGTGCTCAACTCGGCGAGAAAAGCACTTTTGTGCAAAAAGTGACAATGTTAAAAAGTTGAGTCAAAATGTTTTTTTTTTTGTTAGGCACGGTGAGATATCCTGAAACAAATACTACATAAACAAATGAGTAGTTGCATGCGTATTCTTTTTGCCATGAATCGATAAATCCCAAAAAGAAAGGGTGGTCCAGGGGTTTTCCCCCTTGAAAATTTTGATTCCTAGATGGCGGGAAATGAGCTTTCCCGACATTTGGAATGTGTTTTAATGACTTTTATTTTGTTCAAAATTCTAATTTTCTTAATGCAACAAAAAAAAAAAAAAAAAAAATCAGCTCACGGGTCCTGAAAAGGTAGGTCTAGAATTCTTTTTCTTTTCCCCCTTTTTTGTTGCCCAAGGGAGGGGGTCA